CGAAGACACGGCAAGCTCGTGAAATGGTGAAGAACCTTACGAAGAAGCAAAAGAAGGTTCAAGATCCACTGGATGAGGTAGTTCCCGAAACTAATTTCGAAGATAGTGGCAGGTCTCAATCTACACTTCGTCATCAAAGATATGGGTTTTCCATCACCTCAGAGGGACTCTCCAGTCAAGTCGACTTTCGAGGCGACTGGAAGTCTTGGTGGCAGTATGCAAACATCTTATGTGGACACAACCACTAATCTGGGTGATCATTCGAAACAATTTATCCCTGAGAAGACTGTAGTCATACCACCCGAAAGGTGATTAGTTCAGTTTTGGTAGATCTAAACATCTCTGGAATCATTTCCCTCACGGCTGCAAATATTGCCGCTTCAATCTAATCGCGTATATCAGTCTCGCTCGGACCTGACCCGTTCAATCCATAACCAGAACCGCTTGCTCTAGTGATCATCACCATACTGAAGATGGAAATGGAGATAGTCTAATATGAATTTCAAACCCTTTTTCCAGTTCCGTAGTAACCTTGTGACTTTTCTTGATTCTCGTATGGATCCTGTGCTTCCGGTAGTATGTGCTCATATTACCTTCCACACCTATCCATACTAGATCCAATAATCGCTCCATTGTTTCCAATTCATTGCACTCTCCTACTGGTAGGTCGTTTCACACAAAAAGTGTTACAAGGACCTAATTATTAAATTGCTAGACTTTCTTCTAGGATCCCTTCCTACTTTAGGCCGAGGAAGAAATTCTACCAATATTTACTAATCATCAGAAGAATATGATCACATGTCGCAAAATCAACCATTCGGTTGACTGAAATATTTCACTCTACAACGGTTGGACTTAAATATGAGATGCGTAATAGCCCCAAATCAGACAATATAAAACTATGTAATTCTAGTAGCATGCAACCTAACGTATTTGTGAAATAACTAATTCATATTAATATAGGATCTAAGAAGCAATTATCAAGCCAATCTCTAGGCTATAAGGCATCTTAAGTATCAGACAAATTCTAATATGCAATTCCTAAAAGGATCCCTAGCCTACATACTAGCATGCATTTCTAACAGTTCGTGTATCAACAAATATAACAATTCAGATATCTTTGGGAATCACTTTCCTTTCTGAGCTCTGCCTGACTGTATACATCCCATTATTCTCCTTTTGTATAATTTTGTTTTGTAAAAATATTTGTTTGATACTCAGATTCTTAGTTTGAGTCTGGAATCACACAAATGTTCATCCAGTTCTCTCAAATCAAGGCTCTGATACCAACTTGTATCGTCCTAAATTTTCAACAGAAAATTTTCATCTTTTCATATAAAACCTAATTTCAACATCCCATTATCATTAAAATATCATTGTCATACATTTATTCATAAAAAAGAGTTTTAGCGTAAATCTAAAAACATTTTCATCTTAGTTAATGTGAATATAGTCATGTTGGAGTCTTTCCACGAACAAAAGAACAACCTAAAAATAGTTATTTAGTAATTGTAAGTCGAGGCTTAGTAAGTATCCCCAAGATACCATATACACAATATGTATACAATGCATACACACAATGGCCTTCAACATAAAGTTGGTCCGCCCCTTTGGCCTTCAATGTAAAGATGGTCCGCCATTTGCCCTTCACTGTAACGTACGTCCGCTCGAGTATATTAGTCTTCAGCACGAAGCTGATCCGCCCTCAACTCCCACATAATATATATTGCATAAAAAAGTTCAACATGATAGGCAACTAACTAAGCTAGTCTAGTGGCCTAATTTCAAACTACGGAGAAACTATATCACAAATTACAAAGGATACCTACTAGAGTAATAGTGAAATAACTCACCTGGACAATTTCTCAAACGATTAAGAGTTATCCGAGTAGTGCAATTGGCATGCAACGCACCAAACAAGTATTAACCTATATTACTATAGCTTATTAGTCTCTATATGAATTTGGTAAATAAGGCTAGACCTTTCACCATTTCCATTGAATGCTAAGAGTTCTATCAAATAAGGATCATTTCGACATCTAGCTTTTCTAAAATCTAACAAGCAAGCCAACATTCCCATTCTAGACACCTCTCTCGTAAGTAGATCAATCAGTATTATAACTGGAATTACAGATAAATCTTACGTATACATTCATAATAACAATTATGAATATAATTACAAGTTATCTTAGAAAGACTGGTAAGCTTAGCTTCACTTACAGAGATTTCTAGCGAAAATTGGAAAAGTCACGGGCGGAGGCTCAATACCGAGCACTTCTTTCTTCCTGACAATCTACTATTCCAGTGCCTTGCTAAAAATGAGATTTCCCAGACTCCCTAAAACTTCTAAAAATCGGATCTAGAGAGAGATTGTTGTGGGAAGTGAATAAGGGGTTGAAACTATTTATACGCAGGAATTTAAAGGTACATGGTTGAACGCCACGCCCAGACCAGAGGGCTGTCGCGCCTTGGCTTGGTCGGCACACCCTCCTCTAGAAAGTTGCCACATATCGCAAAATGTGTGGTGTCACGTCACTTTGCCATGTAAAATCATCGATTCTTCTAAAAATTGTATCTCTCTCATACAAACTCCATTTTCAATGTTCTTTATATTCAGACATAGAAATCGGTGAGTACTACAACTTTAATTTAGGCTCCCTCGGCTAACTCTCACTCCATTTTAAATTTAACGGTCTACGAAGATTATACTACAAAGGACCGTGTAAAATTCATAACTCTTTTATACAGACTCCATTCTCCACCGTCTTTATATTAACGGATTGGTATTTACGACATCTTCAAATCTCTTTTACGTTGTTTTGGCTAATACTCAATCGATCTTAATTTCGATTTTAGTGTCGCGCATTATCATACCAAAACTTCAAAAAATCACATCTTCCTCTTACGAAGTTAGATTTAGACGTTCTTTATATGTATGCTCTAGATTTTACAACTACTATGACTTTTATTTAGATTAGCTAAGCTATTAAACAACCTATTGACGATTCACTTTTTACGACATGTTTTGCCATATAGGGCTAAATATAGAACTTCAAACAATCATAATTTCTTCATACGAAGTCAGATTTAAGGGTTCTATATATTTACGAGATTCAAATTGAAGTTTTCTATATGTTTATGATGATTAATTTGCATAAAAAGAAATATATATCTAGATCTTATCTTATAATAATCGTTTCATAATACAATCTACGAAAATAGTAAAAATGGGGTGTTACACTACATCTACCGGCAGAAGGGGTATTCTTATTAAATAGTTCCCAAACATATTCTAAAAGTAGAATTCAAAAAAGATTTGACCTACTCAATAAGGATTCACGATATAAAAGACACAAATGAATTACTAGCAAACATCCTTATTTATAGACTCGGATCAAACCTAAAACCCTAATGGGCCAAGCCCATCACTCCACAGGTCCATGAAAAGTTTCAACCAATAACATGCTGCCATGCAACTATTCTAGAACCTTCGTCCTTGAGAGATGTGCATGCCCACTAACCATAGACTTGGTATTCATCACATGTAAGTAGCACCGTCTTAAGAAGAGCACCTTTATAACCAATTAGAACCTTTACTCCAAGAGCACCTTTACAGAACCAAGAGTACCTTTACACCAAGAGAGCACATTTGCACAACCAGGAGCACCTCTGTACCAAGGTGGCGTATCCAAACATGTCTAATAGCATATTTGGCCATGTGGGAGCACATTCAGAAGATATCCAGTGCATTCTCTATAAGACAAGGTCCTAGCACATTCTAATGCCACCTAGGGGTGGAACGCATTCAGGCAAATCCCCCATCACATTCTGGAAAGCCAAGCACATTTAGGGAATGCATTCACCGGGAGGAGCACATTTTGCAACGCATGCAACACATCATGATGGGTCGAGCACAATTGACACTCTAGAATGCTCCACCTCAAGTTAGAATGTTCCACCTTATGTCAGAATACCCCACCATGATTCCAAATGCTCAATTTGCATTTAACAGTTTCTCATCTAGTTTTTCCCTATGCATTTATAAATACTCATCCCACGTTATAAGAACGATTATATATGCTATTTAATGAAGTGTGGATATACATTTTTGTAAAGGGGTAAAGTTTATTAAACATCATGTATCAACGCTTATATAAATAATTTACACTCTCTTTCAAATCATGAACTATCGATAGACATATTTATATGATCATTTAGATTCTAGAACGCTCGTTTAAGCATGGTAGCATCACATATGACATTATTAGCTAAGTAGTCTTGAACGAAACGATAACATGTGGCTTGGTGATACACTTCTCGTTTATGGACACGAACATTCAGCCTCATCAGCCAAAATGACAATTATTTCTTCTACGATTGTTGTGACAAACTATGTTGTGACCCATCAACAAATGGCGGGATGAAGATGATGACGAAGAAGATTCCATCTTTTACTTATCACACTTATATAAGCTTATGTTTGAAATAGAGAGTAAAATGGTTGTTTAATATTATTGGAGACTAACTATTTATTTACACGTGGTTAAAAAAATTCAATTTAATTGTAAGCTAATGTTTTTTTGGAAACAACAAACGAATTAAGTGGAAGCCTACTCGCAGTATTTCAACGAGCACACCGAGTTCGAGCTCCTTTATAGGGCAAACTCAGGCCCCATAAGGATTTCCAGGGAAAATTGCCCACATGTGGAACCACTAGAGATAGTTTAAGAGAATCGAACTTTCAACCTCACGCGCTACATGAGTATGAAACCAGGTGCATCAACCCAGCTAGGTTGGACATTGGGATTAATGCTATATATAGGATCTCCGAATCATGGGACCATCTTGGGGGCGTGGTGCTCACAAAGGGGCCTTTGGGACGCACCCGCCGTGTGGGTCACCATAACACATTGTCTTACCATTGTATGAGAATTAAAAACGGCATGTCTTTTAAAGTATTTATTAGTAAAAAAGTATATATGCCCTATCGTATTATCACTGTCACAATTTTAATATACTTCATAAAAATTCCAAAATATTATATAATTATTCATTTTCATAAGCTTCTTCGTACTTAAACTACAAACTATATAACCCATTTAATCACTAGTTTGTGTGATCCCGAAAGTACCAACAAAGGTTAGGGGCTTGATCGACCAAAAAAATGTTGCATGACTCATCCTCAACATTACTTACTAAATACGGATCTGATTGTTCTTGATATGTCCTTGCAGGATCTATATGTTCTGCGTGATTTGAATTCGTAGCTGACGATGAACAAATAGAAGAGAGCCCAAAAGTAGCTATATTTAGCAAAGAACTTCCATTAGCGTTGCTAACATTCATGTTTTCTTCGTTTAAAACCCCACTTGAATCACTATCAGAAAATCCATCTTTTAAGTCTAGTAATATTCGAGTTTTTTCATAGTTTAAACTTGTGTATACTTCATGATTTGTATTCGTCGGATCAGATCCCAAGAACAAAATATTTTCTCTGTCCTCGAACTCATCATTTCTTTCGGTTGTTTCCTCGTGAAGCTTTGCTTTTAGCTCTACCAACTGCAAAAACATGCAAGAAATGAGATCGATGTTTATAAATGAGGTTTCAAAGTTTAAATCAATATTTATGATAAACAAGTTACATAATTAATTCTAATACAATTTTCTTTTATTAATTACAAAATAAGTTAGAGTAATTTTCATGATAAATATTAATTATCTGTTTTAACTTATAAACAATTTCATTCGTAAATATTTTTAAGGTTAAATATAATTATATTTCAGATTGTTAATTTTATATAATAAGATAGTTTTTTAAATGAAAATATACAATTACAAACGAATTATACAATCACTTTTTATTTTAACACAAAATCTAAAATGGATCCGGCCTTGATGTGATTTTCAACTTTACAGCATATAATTCAAAAAAATATTTAAAAAAAAAAGTATGAAAATAAAGATTTGTGAGAGTGATTAAATTACCTCATTGATTATGGTTTCTTTCTCTTGCTCAAGCTTATGATAATTATGCTTAAGAGCATCATAATTAGACTTAAGAAGATTGTAGTCTCTCTCCAACTGCTTTGTCTTCCACCGTGCACGGCGGTTCTGGAACCAAATCGCCACCTGCCGTGGTTGCAAACCCAAATCTTGCGCCACTTTCACTTTCCTTTCTGGGTCAAGTTTGTTATCGACTTCAAATATTTTCTCCAACGATTTCACTTGATGATTACTTAATCTTCTCTTTTTGTCACTAAATTGTCCTGTTTCTTCTCCACCGTAATCTTCACCATCGCCGCGGCCACTTCCACTGCCACTGCCGTCTACCATTGACTGAAATTCTCCATTGTAAAGGCAGTCTTCTTCTGCTTTCATCTCCCCTGAGTCATGAACAAGAGAAGAACATTATTTTTTAACTAAAAAAACTCTAGCTCTGACTATTTTAAGCTCAATCTATCCACCTTTCAAAAGTAAAATTCAGCAAAGAATATTTGGTTTAAGCTAAAGATCAATGATAATTTCAACTTAAGAACATAACAAGGTCAACAAGGTAAATTTGTTTCAAAAGATTTTCGAATATCAAAGAAATCTTCTGGAATTTCCAAACTCAAATTTGACACCTTATGATAAGATATGGAATTATGGTTTCTTGAAATTCAAATTCAGAAAGAAAAAGAAAAGAGACTGTAAAATTGAAGATCTTTCTGAATATAAAATATGAGAAATGTTAAATAACTGCATAAAGATGATGCAGAAGACTATTCCTTTTACAAAAGCACAAGAAAATTGACGTATCAAGAGCAAGGTGTAACTTTTAATGCATGAATCATGATATACAAGTAAGTAACGCACAAATGCTCTGGATTATTCTATTAAATTATGCAAGTAACAATCTACCATTGATGAATACCTTCAAGTGGGTGTGAGAGAAAATGAGTCAATGAATCAGAGCAACTGAAGTTCCTCTTCATAACTTTGAAGAAATTGAAGGAAAATCAAGAATATTGTTTTGTGGGTCTTTGAGATAAAAATAAAAATCTTGAAACTGACGAATGGAGAAAGGAGAGAAGGGAAAATTAATTTTGTTGTTGTGTCTTTCTCAAAATCTGAGTGAGTTTTATACAACCAAGCAGAAGAAGCTGTGTATGAACAAGTTGTGGGGTGGGGTGTCATTCACTGGCCTTTTCTTATAAGAAACATAAATAAAAATTAAAAAATATTTTTTTTGAAAAGAAATTATATATCCTCCAAAACGTCTTTTCATAAACGATTTTACAAACATATAACAATATTATAGATATTTATATACGGGTTCTAAAAATTTGTAGGTACCGTAAAATTATAAGTTTTGAAAAAATTTTAAAAAAATAAATATTTATTAAATGACTTAAAAAGCTAAGATGTTTTTTGGTTTGTATACATCGAATTACTAATTTTTCTTTTATTTATTTATTTATTTTTTGTATCTACCTATGAAATTTGTTATATTGTTCACAATCAATTTGTATGACCGTTTGGTGGGGGTTTAGCCGGTGTCCGACATTATTTACAGTTCCAATGAGACTCCGGTCATCATTTCCGACATTTTTTCGACGAAACATGATCTTATCACGAGATGGTTTTTATCGGTCTATTGTTTTTCTTGTTTGTGTGTGTATCTATTCATTTGATAAAAAAAAACCCAGAAGTTCTCATGTATTCATCTACAAAAATTGAGTTCATGTGTTCCCATGTTGAAGTTCATGTGTGTATATATGTATTCATCTGTAAAATCAAATCTCAGAAGTTCATGTATTCATTTGTAGACACATGAAAAACCCTAAATTGAAATCTAGAAATCGAATATCATGAACTATAGCGGGAATTGGTTGAGTGCAAGAAAGGAGAATCTTTATTACCTCAACAATTTGTTGAATGAATTGCAACTTATCAAGAAACGCAACTTATGTTCTCTTGTTGAAGATCGCGAAGCGTGTATGAACATCAAGAAGAGCTTAAAGAAGATGATGAAGGAACTAAAAGATAGATATGGCTTTGTTTATCCAAGGATATTGGTTTGTTTATCCAATTAACCTACATAAAACGATGACTACAGAAAATACATTTTTTTAGGATCTTGAAATGTCACTAAAAGAAAAAGTTGATTTTGCTAACGAAGGAATCCGTTGCAAAAAACTGAAATTTCATTGCAAAATTCAAATAGCGGTAGAATTTTAAACGACCCATTTTCGTCCCTAAAAACCCCGTAGCGAGGGTTTGCAATGGAAACAACAATTCCGTCGCAAATGTGACAACGGAATGAAATATGTTGTATATGTTATCCTGTCATGTATTCTGTAATAGGATTCCATTGTGAATTATGTAGTAGTTCTTCCGTCACAAATACCATTGTAGTGGATCCGTAACAAATTATGTGGTGATGAATCCCTAGCAACATTTGTGGTGATTAATCCCTAGCAAAATCAATGGTGATAAATCCCTAGCTAATTCTGTTATGATGAATCCCTAACAAAATCCATGGTGATGAATCCTTAGCTAAATCCATTGTGTTGAATCCCTAGAAAAATATGTGGTGATGAATCCCTAACTAAATCTGTGGTGATGAATCCCTAGCAAAATATGTGCTCTATATTCTATAACAGATTCCATAGCAAATTACGTAGGAATATTTTCGTTGCAAAGCAAGGTAGCTACGGATGGATAATTAATTTACAAATTAAATCCAAGTTATTTTGTAATAATAAATAATAACAAAAATAACAAAAAAATCAAATAACATTTATATCATAAAATAAAACAATAAATACTTATTACATCGAAAATGAAAGAGATATCTACAGTAAAGTCCCAATATTTTTGGAAAAAGTTTTAAAAAAGTCATAATTTTTTTTTTTTAATAAAAAAGCCCAAAAAACCCAGAAATTTATTCAATTTAGTCTTTTTTTTACCTATTAAGTCGGTCATCAACCTATGTGGCATGCCAAGTTGGACAGTTTTTTGATGTGGCAGCGGACATGGCCACCTCAGCAAGCCTCTTTACTAAAAAAATTAAAAGTTTTAAAGGAAATGGAGGGTATAGGACTCGAACCTAAGTCTCCTCCCTCTTATTCCTCCACATTAACCAATTATACTACATACATTTAATATCTTTTCCTCTCCACTCAAATAATTTATGCCTTAATTCGTAAATAAATATAATAATTTGTAAATATTTTAATAATTCGTAAATAAATATAGGTAAAAACATAATCAAATATATTTAATCTATTAAAAACGTAAATAAATATAATAATTCGCAAATAAATATATTTAATATATATACGTATTTTTTACATATTTATATGTAATTTTTTAAAATATTTTTTATCTATTTTACGTAATTTTAATATATTTAAGTATTTTAACTATTTTTTAAATATTATTTATATATTTTTAAGTATTGTAAGTAATATTACGTATAAATATATATAAAAATACATAAAGTTACATACAAATATGTAAAAAATACATATAAATATATTTATTTTTTTAAATATATTAAAAATACGTAAAAAAATACATATATATTTAAAAATACTTAGAATACATGAAAAAAAATACTTATAATGCATAAAAAATACTTAAATATACTTAGAATACATAAAAATTACTTAAATATACTTAGAATACATAAAAAATACTTAAATATTTTAAAAATACGTAAAAAATACATATATATTTTAAATATATTTATTTACGAATTATTATATTTATTTACGTTTTTAATAATAATAATAATAATAATAATAATAATAAATGGTTGTTGTATTAAAAGCTTCAGGAATTAATGAATAAAACTCTTTAGTGGTGAGGAAAAGGCATCAAATGTTTGTAGTTCAGCTGGTTAAGGTGGTGGAATCAGATGGATCTGGCACAGGTTCGAATCCCATCCCGTCAATTTCCTTAAAAAAGTTTTTTTTTTTTTTTTACTAAAGAGGTTCGAATCAAGGGATAAAAGATTTGAGTGGAGAAGAAAAGACATGAAATGTATGTAGTTCAATTGGTTAAGGTAGAGGAATAAAAGGGAGGAGACCTGGGTTCGAGTCCTATGCCCTCCATTTCCTTTAACACTTCCAATTTTTTTAGTAAAGAGGCTTATGCTGACGTGGCATGGCCATGTCAGCCACATCAAAAAATTGTCCAACTTGGCATGCCACATAGGCTGATGACCGACTTAACATGTAAAAAAGGGCCACATCAAAAAACTGTCCAACTTGGCATGCCAGATAGGCTGATGACCGACTTAACATGTAAAAAAAGACTAAACTGAATAAATTTCCCGGTTTTCTGGGCATTTTTATTCAAAAAAAAATATTTTTAGGACTTTTTTAAAACTTTTTGAAAATATTGAGACTTTACTTTAGATATCCTAAAATGAAAAATGGCTAATCTAAAGTAAATACTTTGCAATAAACAAATTAACACTTAATGATATACCAGTTTTCTAGGTGTTTAAAAGCATTAATAACAGCTATTGCCAATTGTAGTTGATTATTAAGTTGCTCGATTCTTTTTTTTGTATTGGTTATCTTTGGCCTTCATTATCTCCTTAAGTTCTTCATTTTGCTCTTTTTACTGATTAAGAAGCTCCCACAATTCTTCCGGTTCAACATTTTTTTTTTCAGAATGTATTTAGATACTTCTGTTGTACCGTTAATCATGAGAACCACCTTTGCATATGAGTCAATTCCATACAGTCTTCTTTTCTTGTCATGACTACCAACAACATCATAAAATATTTGGTCATCCTCAACTTCTTCACATTTAGCTTCCAACTCTTCTTTTTTCTTTGTAAAGGCCATCCACAAAATAATAATAATTTAAAAAGATATCAAATTTATGAAACATGAAGTTTACTGTAACATCCTGTTATTTTCTGTTTCTAAAGTCAACTCTAATCAACCAAAGTCAAACGAGGGCAACTAAGGTCCTTTTTATTGTTTGAGTTTTTATTTAGGTTATGATATAACCTTTACTTGTTAAAAATCCTTAAAATAATTACAATTGAAATTTAGAAGGAAAAGACTTAAAAGCCAAGAAACTTCGCATCTTATTCCTTCACTTCGGACCACAAACACTTCGGACTGAAAAGGTTTACGGTCGTACACTCCTCGGACCGTAAACCCTCGCAGCCGTGAACGGCTTTGGCCGTAAACTCTCTGAACCTTATTGTATCGGAAACCGAACCTTATCGCATTGGGGCACGTTCTCGGTCGTAAACTCTAGCCGACCTCGGACCATAAACGAGGTTCATGCCCGTAAACCCTCGGACCGTGAACCCTCGCATATATATATATATATATATATATATATATATATATATATATATATATATATATATATATATATATATATATATATATATATATATATATATGTTCCAGCTAGTTTTTACTTCATTTCTTCACTTCCACTCGAGATTTCAAGCTTTTTCTCTCAAGTATCATCCACCAAGAACATTGTATCTCCTCAAGAACACACCAAGATCATCCTTGTTCATCTTATTCAAGTTATTAAACACTAGTTCATCACAAAATCTAACAATATCAATTCTTGATCTTGTTATCACTTCAAGAACACCCTTCCATCTTCATTTATTAGGCTAAAATCCATTGAATTTATTAGTGTTCATGAAGAACGCGAAGAACACGAAGAACAAGCACCTCAAAACCTTTGAATCTTCTTTGAATCTGGTCTAGGATCATCAAGTATTCTTCATTCTACAAGAACACCTGGCCGTAAACCCATTTCAGCCTCCAATCTGGCTTCAAACACTTCAATTTGTAAGCTATACTTACAAATTAGTCCGGTTTCTAATCATTCCTATGATTATTTTAGCTAATTGGATGCATATATGCTATACAAATCATTATATAGGACTTGTTTTCTTGCGGGATTTCACTCGTGGAACAAAGCATCCTATATCAAATCATCATTTGAATAACCCTCCAAAAGGTGAGTTCATATCCCTGTATTTTCGTATTTTTACTATTTTAATGGGGGGGGGGGGGGGGGGTAATACAAGTCTAACAAAAATATTTTGTGTTATAAACAAATGAGTTCAAATATCTTATCAAAATGGATTTCAGTTATCAATAAATCAAATG